TCCAACCAGTGCCAGCTCTACCACATCTTTATTTATGACTTCTTTTCCCCCTACATATTCCTTTTCAGAGAGAGGACATTTTAACAGCAAACACTCTGCATTCCTCCTGCTGGACCCAAGCTGGACTCCAAAGTTAAGTTTACATTCCTGGGCTGCTGGGAGGAATGCTGCCCTCTAGGGCTCTGGACCAGACCTGAGGATTACAAGTTAGGCATCATGGATGGAGACTGGGATGCTCAGTTACAGGTACGTTTTAAAGATGCCAACAACACAGGCTCATTTACACAGACTTTAATGGTTTGACTTTCAACTTTCTGTGGCACTGGTCAGATCTGCAGAGGCGTTGATGCTTTATTAATAATTTGAAGTTACTTTGTCACTCATGGAAAATTAAAATGTCTGATGCAATCTTAAGACTGGTGTGATACTCAGACAATACTTTCTTGGGTCTCTGTAAATAGGTCTGTTCTAAATGAAGGGATAACTTCTGTTACAAGTTGACGCTATATTAATAAAACTGATACTCCATGAAACAGTGTAGTCCAGTATTCAGCAAGCCTGAGGCTAAATTTAACAGACCCCAAATACATTTTCTATTTATTAACTGACTTATTAGTACTCAGGATAATGTGCCCTACAGCACTCAAATTATGTCCCTCTTAAGTAACCCGTCCAAATACATGTTGATCACCATTACCCTGACGTGAATGGAGTTTCTATTAACACGATTGTCCTGAAAGAGTGCTGACATCCTGTGTGCCTTGGCAAGCCCTAAAAATAGTGAGGGCATCTTCATAGATACAGCACTGTAGATGTGCTGTAATGGAGAGGAAAGGACAGGAGAGAGGAGGAGAAAAGAGAGGAAGAGAGGATGGTTAAAAATAGGATTCAGTTATGACAAGGACAAGGCTATTGCTAACACGACTTCAACTGGAAAAATAATGTACTACTGTAGAGCTATTACTGCTCTATCTGATCATTATTATTAGCTGATCAGCACACCAGAGCAGAGCAGGGATTCATTGTCCCACTCAAGGACATTTCTGCACGGTGGCTGCTGAAGGGCTTGAAACCGAGCAACCACTTTTAAGGACAGACTGGACTTTGATCTAAGCTAATTAACATGGATCGGACCAGAAAAATCTCACTCTGGAGAGATCAAAGCCCTAACTGGCTGCATTAAAGATCTGATGGGATTTAGCTTGGTTTTATTTTATTGCTATATAATGTGATATATTATTCTAATAACACGTTTACCCCTTGCATTTGTGTACACTTATAAACAGTGGTTGAATTACAGTATACTGTGGAGCTATTGTATAACTGTACCTTCAATAATGCCAATACAGGGTGATGGCATTATGTAGTGGTATGTTGTGGACATACAGTATACATACTTACTTATGGTAAGCTGTCCAGCACTGCCCCCTGCTGGCAGAAAGAATTACTTAAATTTTTTTTTAAAAACAAATAAATAAATATAACCATTTAGCAAATGCACAATTCAGGAGGTATAAGATGTGATTTAGAAGTTATCTTACTGTGTACAACTGTTGAAAATGAAAATGAATGCATATTTAATAAACCAACAACAACTTCATTATGTCAAAACAATTTCTTTAATGGTTTGCAAGTGTTGTATTTCTTCCACTATGTAGTTTTTGTAGTATTCCTATTATAGCCTCTGATAATGTGGTTGCTAGTCTTCCTCGGGTCTCAAAATAAACACAAATGGCACAAATGGCATGAAATAAAACAAAAACACAAGTTAGTTTAAAACAGCTTCTTTTTTGGCTTCTTAATGAAAAGGAAAACTACAAGCAACTTATTATTTCCTCCAAACCTTTTTCTAATGACGTACCTAAAAGACCTGACAGTGAGCTCACTGTTTGCCCAGATGAGTTATTTCATCAACATATCTGCATCACAGCAGAGTGAAACTTCTATGTACAGTCCTCCAGCGAGTCCAACCCCTGTCATTATATTTTCTACATCAGCAGGCAAGAAAAACAGCCTCTGTGCCCCAGAAACAATATGTTATTATATAGGAGGAGACAGGTTTTAACAGGTTACTTCCAACAACAAGTTCAGCCTTGATACCTGTCTGTTATAATGACATGTGGATTGCTGTTTTGCATTTTTCTGAAATTAAACAGTAAAAGAAATGTAAAAGAAAATAACATGTCAGTTGAAAAGAAAAACTGAATAAGCTCCCATATCCACCTCTAACCAAACCAAACTTCCTTTGCAGTACTTTTTACCCGGTCAAACTTTCCTCTTCCTCCTCAGCTGAGACATTTCTGTTTGGAAGGAAAATCCTGCTCAGCTCTTTGTAGCAACCTGCTACTTTCTGTGTGTGTAACCAGCCCAAAATACTCCCTGTCCTACTGACGCCCAGTTCAACCCATTTTCTGCCCAAGTGATGTATTTACAACACAGTGTCCAAATCCTCCTCATCTCTCTTTCCGCCAAGGAAACTTTTGCCTTCTGCGTCACAGCAGACTGTTACTTCCACATCCCAATCCAACTCCAACACCGTCTGTTCTGACATATACAAGCTAACTCCTGTCTGCTCCTTGATCTCATCCTCATGGCTGCCTAAGACTTACTTTCTTCAGTTCAAACTGGAAATGAGATGACATAATGTGTTTATAACTCACTATAATCGAGCACTTTTAACAAAAGGTGAAGGCCTACTACAGGGATCTGTCATTGGTCCTCTTTTTTTTTTATATGCTTTTGGGTTGTTCTTGTATGCACAAAATGCTGAGTTCATTATCTTCTCAAGAAACAGGAACAAGATCTTGCATCATTTGCAGATACAATTAAAAATTGTTTGAGTTCAGCAAGTTTTCACTGCCAATATAAATTTACTGTTCTCTACTGGTGGATACGGAGTTATACAGAAGGAGCTGAGTTAAATGTCTGGGTCAGAAAGGTAGTCATCAAGCAGTTACTGAGGTAGCAAGACCATTACTTCATGTTCCTATCCAGTCTCCACTTTACTAACCTCTATGCAGCTGCTGCATTTACAATTCCACTAACTCTGTGCATTCAAAGGTCGCAAAATAAATAAGATCTTATATAAGAAAGAGGCCATCGAACCCAGATCTGTAACTCTCTCCAACTCTTGCGAAGCGACCTGTCTACTGACTCTCATCCAGCAACCTGCCGGTCTTTTTCTCATTTATTAAACTTTGAATGTAAAACTAACTATTGAATAACAATCTGTGCAACAGTTACACTATATAGTACTAGAGGAACACTGTATAATAGGTTTAACTCAAAGAAGCAGTATGTGGGATTATTTAAATACAAAATCTAATATACTGTATTTGTACTGCACAATAATGTAGCCATGTATAATAATTAAAGGACCAGTGTGCAGTGAGGTTGCAGATTGCAACTAACTGAATACTACTTGCTTTTCAAGTGTGTAGGGGAAACTAAGGTGGCAACAAAACACAAAAGGCCAGTGTTAGGTTTGTCCGTTCTGAGTTACTGTAGAAACATGCCGGTTTAACATGCCGGACTCTGCAGAAGAGGATCAATTTCCTCTATAGATAAAAACGTCTCATTCTAAGGTAAAAGAAACACAGTTGCTTTGTTCAGGTGATTATACACTAATGAAAAGATACCTATGAATATTATATTTAATTTCTCCTACACATTATGCACTGGACCTTTAAGGAAACTCTTTGAGTTGCCTTCATATTAGACAAGAGTAATAAACTTTAATGGGTAAATTATAATTTAATTTAAAATAAAAAACACATTTCTTCAATACAAATCACTCTTCACATTTGAAGTCCAGTACATTCAGGTAATTTATTCAGCACATGGTAGGCAGCTAAATCTCAGTATTAAAAATATACATATGATCATCATTTTACATTTGGGTGAAATAGTTGTAGCAAATAATTATTAGTGTTTGCTTTAACTTACTATACTTTGGGTTACTTCAAGTTTGGTTTCTTTATGTTAGGATTATAGCGACATGTACTGTTGTCAGTCACAGAAACATAATGATAACTATCAGAACCTTTCTATGAGTAAAGCCCCTACATACAAACTGTCTAACCAATCACATAATTGAAGACATCAGTGTGGTGTGCAGGGCCTTTGCATGAAGCATCCGCAAGTACTGTAGGTCAAAACAAACCATAAAACACATATACACAACTATAACTTGACCTCCACAATCTACACGTTGCACTTACATTCTTTGTGTGTGGAATCTCCTTGCAGCAATCTGCACAAAAATCAAAATCTAAAAATCTAACTGTAATGTCTGATAGTCGAGTGTAATATAGTGAGGATGGGTATCTACAGTATTTCTTTATTCATTAATAGAATACCACATGGATTTGAATAGAAATTAACTATTAATTTAAATTATTCATAAACTTCAAATGTAGGAGATAAATAGAGGGTATAAACTGAATGTAGTTTGGCTGCGTTGTACTATGGACCAGGGCTGGCTTTTGATGCTGCCAAATTTAAATAGTTCAATTGATTTATAGTTTCATTGTGGATAATCTTCTAGCATGTGGGTTTTTCATATCTAACCTGATAAAGGAAAGCATCTGCAGCAAATTGACATCTTGAAGAGACTGACCTGAAGGTTAATCGCCTCTTACCCGCCTAGCAGCAACTTGCCGCTTCATTGCACCCAGAAGCATTGTCTGTACTGTAATTGATACAACATTAAGAGCTGGTGGAGCCAACATGGCCACTACTGAACACAGCAATCCTCCACCTTTGTTTACACCTCCCTCTTCAAAGTAAATCATACCTAAATCAGACACTAATAATTCAATTGAAGCTGATTATAACAATAAAGCTACCAGCAAATTTTGTTTTCACAGTGAAGGAGTGTGCGGTCCTGTCAACAAGGACTTCAATATTTTAAAAATATAATCAACTCAAAGACAGACAGAAAGTCTCGATGACTCCCCTCATGGGGGGGGGGGGGGGNNATGCGTAAAAAAAAGGGGGGGGGGGGGGGGGGGGGAGAAAGGGAGGAGAGAGGAGGGACGGTGTTTCTTCCTTTTTCCGGGCAGATGACTAAACAGGAGAGGTAGAGGACAGGAAGAAGAAGCCCTCATGATTTGACAGCGCCCCAGATGATGAGTCCAATAACGGTAGCAGCTACAGCCAACACTATCATCAGGATGCATATCTTCTTCCGGGAGCTCCGCTGGGGGGAGAAAAAAAGACGCAGAATGGTTTTTACGTGTAATAAATAAGTGTAATCTGAATTTAGAGAGAGACAGGTTGATTTACTCGGATGGTCTGAAGTGACTCACAGCCACTGCATGAATCACCCTGTGACTCAGCTTTTTATTTTATTTTCAGCTTTACGCCTCTTTCTCTAAGTTGTAGTCACCAAAACAAACTGACTAAGAACTCGGTTACACAAGGGAGTCCTTGTGCAGGAGGAGGAGGAGTCATACACTGCTACCTCAGAGACACCTACAGCAGCCAGTCTTGCTTACTGTAGATTTCTTAATTGGTCCACCAGTTACAAGCAAACTTTTCTAACATTTTTGAAATACATTTGCATGCCTCTCCTCTTCTTGTGCCTTTCCTCAATCCCTCTTTATGTGTATCTGCCCTCCTCATTTCTGTTCATCACCCTCTCTGTCCTATTGAATTTTACCTGGTATTCCGCAGCACGTGCCAGCTGCTGTGTGGCGCTCTGGACACTCACATCTGCATTCTCGACATTGGCTTCTATGCTGTCTGCAGGACACACAGAAAACACACACATTGTTAATGCAGGAAGGTGGGAAAAACAGGAGGGGGAGCACATGTGGCTCAAATCTACAAACTTATATTTTCACAGTCATTAGAGAAGTAGACGGGTTAGCACAGAAAATCACTTGGAGTTCACTGGAGTTTTTTTGGTGGACTCTATCCAAAGGTTGCAAAGTCTGTCTACCAGCATCTACTAATTCACATGTCAGACCTTGTTTGTTTTGAGACGGAGCCAATCGAGCTGTTTCCCTGTGTTTCTAGTCTGAGTGCTGACCGAAGCTAACCAGATGCTGACTGTAGCCTCATGTTTACCGTGCAGAGTGGTATTGATCCTCTCATCGAACTCTCAGCAACAGAGAGTAATAGGCAAATTTCTCAAAACACATTTGAGTAAAGCTGCCATTTCCTGCTCAAATATTTTGATTAAAAACAACTATGATGATATGATGTGGGTCATCTCTATAAAGAAAAACCTGTGGTGCAAGTTTGAAAGTTATATTTGACTTTTTTTAGCTAATGTGTTCAGGATAAGATAAGAAAACATATTTTTTTTCCATGAATAAAAGGTGGCGTATGTTATAAGACCGTTGACCCAGCACATGTTCCTGTTGTCATTAAGTAGATGTTTCAGTTGTAAGTTTATTAGACTATTATTGGAGGAAGAGACAAGTAATCTAGGGACAGGTGACTGAAGCTCACCTATCATGTCTCCCTGCTCATGGACCATCATCCCCAGGTCCTTGAAGATGTCATTGATATCTGTGATGTCAGCCTGAATCAAGCAACATAAAGAAAGATGGTTCATGTGAAAGGTGTCACACATGTGTGAGTGGGGAACACAGAAAACACAGAGCTGATGAGATGCTGTACATATAAGTGGCCATGCTGGTATGGACATTCTTAACTGTACCTCCAACTGCCTGATGGACGACTCTCTCTCCTGGATCAGCCTCAAGTCTTCTTCAGTGATGGCCTCAGCCTGAGCCTGAGCCTGGGAATCACTGCAAGAACAAATGCAGATTAATAAAAATAATAATAATAATGATAGTGACAGAAATGATCATACCGATCATAAATAATGGACCTACCTATGAAAAGGAGACACATTTCCAAAGCTGTCATCAGGCTGTCCTCCCTGTAAAAGGAAATAAGAAGTTTGCATAAACATACTTGTGTGCTTGTTACTGCAAATATAATGCATAGAACGTTCTTTACTGTGATTATGGGTACAGCAATGTCAGTATGTACTGGGTGCTATAAAACCTACAGTGCCCATGGCCTCATTAAACATAATTTGAAGTAAGTAAGCAGCACAACGTATTGTCAAGAATGTATGTGTGGTGACATACAGCAAATAAAACCAGCCGAGATACGTTCCTTACCAACCATTTAAAGCAGTAAGGAACTGTTCCTGCTTATCAGCATAAGCACAGCAGATACAGATACTTTTCTGTGCAGTGAGATAAGCGGTGAGGGAACAGAGTTGCCAAGCAAGCACACTCTCCTGAGGGAACCGGTGTCTAAAACAGTCACAATTAAAGGCACTGTCTGTGGCACAGTAATGTGAGCACTGAATCTTGTGAAACTTCTCTTGTAAACACTAAGTTTAAATAAATATGAATACACAGCTTCAGTAGAGAAACCAACAACAGAAATAGGACGGGATGCCTCATTTCACAGGTGTTGAGATGTTTGTATGATCTGACAAAAGACACTGAGGGCTCTGTTTCCCAACTCAGTATTAAGATAAAGTATCAATCTTAGTAGGCTGCCTCTGTATCTTTTGCCTTGTTGAATGCTGCTTTCAACTGTTCTTACCTAAATATGCTTCCTTCATGTAAAGCCTCAATATTGTTATTGGGCCATGTGGCAGAGGGGCCAGAAAAAGGACACTTTTCACAAGCAAGGCTGCTATATGGATAATGGGACACTCACTAATGTATTATTTAATCCCTGTCTTTATCAAAGGTGTACACCATGACCTTGTGACCTTGCACAGCGGGTTACTCACCGACACCCTGGAGCTGGCTCTGACTCTGGCCACAAACTCTCTCTCTTTGTCGGCTGCCTGCCGCTGGATCTTTTGGAAGCTGTTCAGGGCGGCGGAGAAGTCATTCAACAGACGCTCTTTCTGTATCTTTCTCTGCCGCTGAAACACACACAGAATAACAATGTTAACAGAGAGGCAGCAAAAAGACTGGGAAACAAGTGACTTCGAAAAGCTGAATTAAGTTACCTGGTCAGCGCCAACAGGAAGCGCACTGAATGTCTTGATCAGTCTGTCAGTCTCTTTCGCTAGCTGATTGCCTTGCTGCTGTTTCTGTTGTCTGGTGACCAAAGACAAATATTTTTTTATATATTCCATGAAGACAGAGAAATACTGGCCAGACAATATGAAAACAAACAGCTGAGAAGAGAAGTGGTAGAGATTCAGATGTTGAGTTTCCAATATCTGCATTAGGTTGCATTAGCTTTCAAATGCAATATCAGTATCAATGATTTCTGGACAACTTTCAGACAGGCATGATTAAAAAGTTTAGCAGTTTCTCCAACCTCTTCTGTACTACGATGTTCACCATAATAGATCAATTACACAAATGTGACCCCGAGCCCCCATAACTCACAGCGTCTGTCGTAGCTGGCTGCTGTCCTGCTCCGTTCCCAGCAGAGAAACTGCCCTCTGCAGCTCAGAGGCTGGTGAGGAAGAAAGACATTGTTTATCTGTACTGAAGTATCTTCATGTGTCTGATGATGTCTTCTTCTCTGAGTGTGTGTGTGTGTGTATTACTCAGCAGTGTCAGCTTCTGGATGTTGGAGCTGATGTTGTGGACCAAAGCACTGGGATCCTCTGGAGTCCCGGCATGGTAGGCCATGGTGGAGAGCTTGGAGGAAACACAACAACACAGACTGTCACTTCATTGATTTTTGAGCCAGACAGTCATTACTGCAGTTATTTCAGTGTGTTCTGTTTGTTCCTTTGGGCATCTCGGCTGAAAACCATTTGGTTAGGTTTTTTTTTTTTCCAATGACTATGCTTCCTTGTGTGGAAGCTTTAATAGAAGCAGGTTCAGGCTTCATGTAGACATCTAAAAAAAAAAACGTCTTCTCCAAAACAGCAAAAATATCTACTGTGATTATTTCACTGCCAGACAAAAAAAAAAAAATGAAAAACTAGACTAAAATATTGTTGTATAGCTGTAAAATAATAATGTTGCAGCATTAAAAATTAAAAAAATGTCCCTTAACTGGAACTATTGCCCACCTAGCTCAAACCATTCAAACAGCCCCATGTAGACCAACATTTAACAGGTGCTTTAGGTGACTGTTAAAAGCTTAAAATCCTTTGTTTTTTTTAATGCTCTTATTTACTGTATATGGAGCCCAGCAGGGTTGGGTGGAGGAATGTTTACTACAGCCAGTCATGCAGACTTCCTGTACTGTTGACTCAACAGGATTGAAACCATGGCCTGTATGCAAATAACCATCTGCTAAGAAACTCTCCAATGGAGTCAGCCCTGTTATTGCTACGGGCGAGAATAATGTCAATGCTTCTTACACTGAATGATGCCTTGTGCTTTAATAATAAAAAAAGCCCTCACAGTCTGTCTGTCCGTCCGTGTGTGTGTGTGTGTGTGTGTGTGTGTGTGTCCTTCTTCTTCAGCAACTGCCAGCGAGAAAAATGCGGAAATCACATGAGCTTTCCAATGACAAGTGGAGTTCAGAGCATACATGATCACTATTTCATTTAAACTCATTTGTTCAATAAGTGAACTTTCATTCCAGTGTTGACTCCGACACGCAGAAGTTAATGAAGTTACAATCAAAGTCGCAGCTCAATTTCAAGACTTTTTCTCTCTCGTTTTCCCGGAGAACACGTTTCATTTCTTCGCTCCTGGAGATGAAAACCAGCACAATAAGATAGTGTGTGTCGTGGTGATGGATCAGTATTGTCTACCCTTTCTGAATGTTCAGCTCAGTTGTGTAAAAGTTTGGACTTTACCTTTGTTGAGAGTTGCAGCAGCAGCGGTGTATTTCCGGACTCTCTGCCACTCCCCCGTCACATGATGTGTGGAGCAGTGGAGTTAAAAGCATTGGTAGGAGTTACTGCATGGGCTGTGCTGGATGGAGCAGCGAAGTGAACTGAACATACATATTCTGATTACTTTTGTTCTACATGTATTTCTGCTTACAGTACTAAATCTACTCAGCTCAGTTAGTTTCAGTTTTTATCCAAAGATTCATAAATGTAAAAGTAAGACAGGTCTCTGTAATGGTGTGTTTTTAAATCATGTGTCAGATCTTTTACTGAAATAAAGGGAGAAATACCACACTGTGAAAATACGCCACTGCAAGTAAAAGTATGTAAGTATTACTTGATTTAAAATTGACTTAAACTATCAAAAGTGAAAGTACTCATTCTGCAGTAAAGTGGTCCCTGCCAGTATTTTAAGAAGAAAAAGAAGAAGTATACTTTATTAATCCCCTAGGGGAAATTGTTCTTTTCACTCTTTTTTTATACACACACACAGGCTGAAATACACACTTCATGCACTTGTGGACATGCAAACAGGGAGAGAGATGGTGGAGTGATGGGGCTCCCACGTTACCAGCGCCCCATGAGCA